TTAAAGTTTGTTTGAATTACAATCAAGTTGGGAAATAAGTTAGCCAATTGCGTTATGAACCTTGATCCATGAGCACCACCGAATGCACCCTTCAACGGCCCTCCAACTTGTAATTACTAGTGGGGAACTCGTCTGTCATCCCTGCTCTGACTTCTCCCACATACTGAACTCTGACGTCACCTACCAAGGAAATGACCTCGATAACAGCATTTTCGGCAGTTAAATGCAACAACAAAACATTATTCATAAAAAGCTATCTATTATGGTTTTTTAACACTATCATTTGTTTACAAGCATGATAGCTGAACTTTTAGTTTATGTCTGACGCAGCTTGTTTGCCATTAGCCAATCAGCGTTTCTCAATGAGTTCAAAGCATGTGAATGCATCCAACTCGTATTTATGACTGCACAACTGGTAAATTCGCAGAAGAATGCAGCATTCACACCAAGCCTTGAGTTAACTACTCCCTTGCTCATTGCCCCTGCCTTGCCTCCACCTCTCCTCCCATGAGTTGACATGGATAGAAAAGAGCAGAAGCTCTGAACGATCCCAGGCACCAGTCCTACCTACCTACAGGTTATAGAAAAGAGCAGAAGCTCTGAACTATCCCAGGTTCCAGTCCTACCTACCTACAGGTTATAGAAAAGAGCAGAAGCTCTGAACTATCCCAGGTTCCAGTCCTACCTACCTACAGGTTATAGAAAAGAGCAGAAGCTCTGAACGATACCAGGCTCCAGAGTACCTACCTACAAATCCCTGTCTTACCTTAGCTCACTGGTCACCATAGCAACACCCACCCGTAGTCTACGCTCCAGCAGGTATATCTCACTGGTCATCCCCAAAGCCAACACCTCCTTTGGCCGCCATTCCTTCCAGTTCTCTGCTGCCAATGACTGGAACGAACTGCAAAAATCTCTGAAGCTGGAGACTCTTATCTCCCTCATTAACTTTAAGCGTCAGTTGTCAGAGCAGCTTACCGATCACTGCACCTGTACACAGCCATTCTGAAATTAGCCCACCCAACTACCTCATCCCCATATTGTTATTTATTTTGCTAATTTGCACCCCAGTATCTCTATTTGCACATCATCTTTTGCACATCTATCATTCCAGTGTTAATACGAAATTGTAACTATTTTGCACTATGGCCTATTTATTGCCTTACCTCCATAACTTACTACATTCGCACACACTGTATATATATTTTCTGTTTGTATTTTTGACTTTATGTTTTGTTTACCATATGTAACTCTGTGTTGTTGTTTTTATCGCACTGCTTTGCTTTATCTTGGCCAGGTCGCAGTTGTAAATGAGAACTTGTTCTCAACTGGCTTACCTGGTTAAATAAAGGTGAAATAAAAATAAATAAATAAATAAAAATAGAAAAGAGCAGAAGCTCTGAACGATCCCAGGCTCCAGTCCGACCTACCTACAGGTTATAGAAAAGAGCAGAAGCTCTGAACCTAGCCATTCATACCCCCACCTACTTACTTACAGGTTATGGAAAATGTGCTCTTTTAGTATTTGTCCAGCAGGATTCCTCAAGGAGAAAACCCCCACTTCTATGTCAAAGATAATAAAACAAAAACACTATAGTAAATACTACAATAATTTCTGCAAAAACACTACAGTAAATACTACAGTATACTACAGTACTGTCTGCAAAAACACTACAGTAAATACTAGAGTATACTACAGTAATGTCCGAAAATCACTACAGTGAATACTATAGTATATAAATATAGTAATACTACATATTTATAACATATTATAAACTGGCTGATTCGAGCCCTGAATGCTGATTGGCTGACAGCCGTGGTATATCGTCCCTAAGAACAGCCCTTAGCGTGGTATATTGGCCATATACCACACCCCCTCGGGCCTTATTGCTTAAGTATACATTAGTATTTTTTCATATAGGAGGGCTTTGTACTAAATAAAACCATTGCTGAATGAATTAGGAAAAACACAGACATACATCAGTCAGATCTCATGATGTCTTCAGACAAACACACAGAGAACTCAGGTAATGTTACAGATGTTTTTATTGAGGTCTTTAGACACATATTTCATATACACTGCTGTAACTCCGTTAAAGATTACATAGAAACCTGCACGTTATAAGCCTCCTCTCATCTTCTTTCTCCCCTTCTCTTTTTTTTCTCTCTCCCGGCAGGAAAAGAAAAGATGACAAGTACAATAAGACCTGACACAAATGAGTGTTGGCACCACCAGTCTCCATAGCAACAGTTGTGTTACACACAACACGTTTGTGTCACGTCTCTGTCCGTGTTCCACATCTCCACTCACCTCCAACATAGAAAGATACTCCACAGAGTCTCAGAGGTATATTACACACAATTATAATGCACTCACGCTCACACAGACGGATGCACGCAGGGACACACACACACATACACAAATATATAATACAAATGTATACACTCAAAATGCCGCACACAGTTGTGCAGTGAGGCTTTATTCATCATGTTTTTACATTGAGTCTATTTTCCTTGTAAAGTTCTCAACAACACAACTGAGATAGAAAAACATTCAACCTACAATAGTGTCTGCAGAAGTCTGCAAGGTGTCATTGAGGTGTTGTTTATGTACGTATGTGTGTGTGTGTGTGTGTGTGTATTTGCACGTGTGTTTGCACATGTGTGTGGAATATATGTGTATGTTAACCCTGTCTACCAGGCAGGGAAGACTAAAGGGAGAGAGAGAGAGAGATGCAGGGGTGTGATTTGTGTGTGTGTGTGTGTGTCTGTGTGTGCGTGAGTGCGTGCGTGTGCGTGTATGTGTGTGTGTGTGCGTGTATGTGTGTATGTGTGTGCGTGTATGTGTGTATGTGTGTGTGTGTTACTGAGGTGAGAGACAGAGGAACAGTCCCGCCTCTCTGGACTTTCTGCTCCAATCACAATAGCGTTAGTACAGTCCGGTCCAATGTCAGTATAGTCCATTCAATCAAAGTATATAGTCAATGGCTCTAGCACATTAGTCCTCTCCTTGATTGTTCCTCTGTCCCATTCTCCGCACTTGAGGTTTACAGTCTTTTTTTAAATGCGTATGAGCATGAATTTCTGGAGGTGCAGTCTCCCATTAGATTATTTTAACAAGTGCGTCTGCTGGCAGCACACTTCACAAGCTCATTGTACGCTCTACCAGTTAGACAACAGAACTGCCAGCTTAGCCAAAGTGTCTATGCACTCAGAAACGCATCAAGACAAAGTATGGTAACGTAAACTCCGTCCTCAGTGTTTAGGGTAGGAGAATAGGACAGAATCAGAGGCTCAAGTCTCTCTGGTGATCCATCAAAACATCCTTCAGTCGATCCAGCGTCTGTCTCATGTTCTCTCTAATGTTCTCTTTGTCTCTCTCTCTGTGCTGTAGGATCAGTGCCAGTCTCTTCTCACACCCCTCCTCTCTTATCCTCTTCATCTCCTCACTTCTTCTCTCCATTCCTTTGCTCCTCTCTTATCCTCTGCTCTCCTCTTCTCTCAGTTCTTCTTCTGTTGATGTTGTTGTTGTTGTTTTGGTTGCCCTTGACATGGTAGTGGAGGATGTGATGTCACAGAAGTTCCTGTGGGTGGCGTTCTAGCTTCCTGTCTGACCCCGAGGACGGCGTTTAGAGGTCAGGGGTCAGGTGAGTATGTGTGCTACAGAGCCTGGAGCAGAAGCCCCAGCATGGTCACACACACACTCACACACCCTCTCACACCCAGGGGTCCAGAGGCTGCTGCAGAGCGCTGGGCTCTACCCTCCTCTCCCTCAGAGTCCACAGAACCCTGGGCCAATAACGCCTGAGAGGGAGAGCGAGAGGGTGGGGTGTGGGTGGGTGGGTGTGTGTGTGTGTGTGTGGGGGGGGGGGGGGGGGGGGGGGGGGGGGGGGTGTAATGTAAAGGTAATAGGAGAGAGAGAGAGAAAAAGAGGGAAAAAGAGAATTAGTCATCTGATGTAAATGTGCTTGGAAAAGAGAGAGAAGATGAGAGAAAGAGTGACATGACAGGATTGAGTTATGAGTGAATAGATGGATGGATGAACAGAGTGATGAAGATGTTTATAGATGGATGGACAGAGTAGATGGAGACGCAGAGAAGAGTAAAGCAGATATGACAGATGGACAGAACGTGGAGGAGGAGAGAGAAATGGACAGTGTTACAGAGGAGGAGGAGAGATGGAAGGCTGCTGCTTCCAAAAAACCTGTTATGAGTTCTGTCACAGTCAAAGAGACACACACACACACACACACACCAATGCGCAAACACTCATGCTCACCTCTTCACACTCAAATTCATTGGAAGGAATGCACTTTTGTCCTCCATCCTGTAAAAAAACCACATACCATCAGCATCTACTTACACACGGCATGAGCAACAACACACACACACACACACACACTCTCTCTCTCTCTCGCTCCAACGTCTGTAGTTATCTCCCTCTCCCATCAGCCCTTCTCTGGGTCTCATTAGCATGTCCCCGCCCGTCGCCTGGGTGGGCGAGCCAATCAGATCTTATCTCCTCTCAGAACAGGAAGAGCTCTTTTCATGGCCAGGAAATGAGGAGAATAATAGAGAGCAGAGAACTGAGCGAGAAATAACTAGTATAACAAACACACTCACACACACATACCCTCCCCCTGACCTCTTCGTGATCAGTCTGAATGTCAGGGGTTCCGTGCAGGAGACAGAAGTCCTGGGATTAGACCGCCAGCTGCAGGGCTTTGACAGTTTAAACATACAGTCCAGTATACACACAAACACACACATACACTCATCCATGTACACACAGCATGAATATTTCCATCCATCTCTCTGTTACCCTGAGGTATTCGGTCTGTGTGTGTATTTCCCCCTCCAGCCTCCATCCCAGTTAAGGTATATATAGAACGTCAGGACTAGATATTTCCTCAGCCGGTCAGGTGTCGGATGATTAAATAATTAATACATTACGCTCCCTATACACTATGAAAGTAGATACGTCACATGAACTAACGTCACTATTGATAACCATTGACATGCACACACAGGCACACACACACCTTAAGGTTGGCACAGGTTGAGAAAACACAAGCGCTATCCAGAGGCTTGATGTCATTGGCTTGGGGAGAGGGGGCGGGATTAGAGTTGAGTGGCGGCTGTATGGGAGGAAAGGGCGTGGCCAAAGACTCTGTGACGGGAAGAACACTCCCCTCTGATCCATAGGCAAACGCCTGGATGGAATTCTCTACAGAAACAGGCAGGAGAGAGAGAGAGAAGAAGAGAGAAGAGAGAGGCAAGATGGAGTGCAGGTAATGCAGCTAGGTCACGGTTATTAAAAAAAACACCTAGGGACACACACACCACACACACTTGCACTCCACTCACTGAGGCAGGTGTTGTGTGTGAAGTCTCTGAGGAAGGCGTCACACTCCTGTTCCTGGTTGCCAGTCCCTCTGCAGGAGCACCAGGGAGAGATGGTGCTGTTACTGGGACTGCTGTCCATGTAGTTAGGAGTCACATCAGACCCTGGAGAGAGGGAGGGAGGGAGGGTGGGAGGGAGTAGACAATATTCAGAACCAAGAGTACGTTTGAAGAACACTTCTGCTGGGATAGAAAACCCTCCAGCAAATTGCTGTTAAATGGAGAGAGCAGGCCAAACTCTAGTGGATTACGGCATGTTTAGGTATATTTGAAATGGTGAAATTATGGCAAGGGGTGACATTTAATTTCCATATAAATTTCCTACCATCCACTAGGGGCAACGCGAGCCCCTAATACCATCTAGTAGACTTGCGACGAGCCAGGTCTTTGGGGATAGGGTTGAGAATGGTCTTCAACCGAACATCGCGTTTTCAATCCCAGTGCTAGGCAATCGTTTAGAAAAAAAAAAAAATCTGTTCTAAACCTATCCCAAACCTTAACCCTAACCACTCGGAATTAATGCCTAAGAATAAATCTAATGCCTAAATTTAACAAAAATCAAGGTTGGTTTCGGTTTCACTTTTGCGCAGTTTTACTAACATACAGAAAATATGCCGCACACTCCATAATCTGCAGACCGCCCCACACGCCATAATTAAAATGGCAAGCCATGTTATATCTCTGTGTCTGCAGTTATGGGAAGGTATGGCGTTTTCTTTGGAGATTGAGTTGCGAGAGAGTGTGTGTGTACTCACCAATGAGGCCTACGTAGGCCATTAGGCAGCCGTGGTAGTTAGCATTGGGACAGCTGTTGATGGAGTGACCAGTCATCTGACAGGTGGTATGGAAATCAGCCAGTCTTGACCTAAATGCACATACACAAGCAAATTATAAATGTTCATCATAATATCGTCATTTTAGCATTTCAACCGAAGGAACTTAAAGACAGTGACACATACACTGAGTTTACAAAACATTATGGACACCTTCCAAATATTGAGTTGCACCCCCCCTTTTGCCCTCAGAACAGCCTCAATTTGTCGGGACATGGACTCTACAAGGTGTCGAAAGCGTTCCACAAGCATGCTGGCCAATGTTGACTCCAATGCTTTCCACAGTTGTGTCAAGTTGGCTGGATGTCCTTTGGGTGGTGGACCATTCTTGATACACATGGAAAACTGTTGAGCATGAAAAACCCAGCAGTGTGAGCATGAAAAACCCAGCAGCGTTGCAGTTCTTGACACAAACCAGTACGTGTGGCACCTACTACCATACCCTGTTCAAAGACACTTCAATATTTTGTCTTGCCCATTCACCCTCTGAATGGCACACATACACAATTCATGTCTCAATTGTTTCAAGGCTTAAAAATCCTTCTTTAACCTGTCTCCTCCCCTTTATCTACACTGATTGAAGTGGACTTAACAAGTGACATCAATAAGGGATCATAGCTTTCACCTGGTCAGTCTATGTCACGGAAAAGAGCAGGTGTCCATAATGTTTCGTACACTCAGTATATGCAGACCATACAGGAATCAAACCCACAACCCTGATGTTGCCAGCATCATGCTCTAACTCACTGAGCCATTGTAACCACCCACGATAGTACTTACAGTAAGCATTATGATCATACTGTAAGGTTATTTTATGGGAGATATTATTGTTTTCTGTAGTTCTAAAATAAGGTGAATCAGTTGTTTTGAATTGTAATGGTTATTGGTTTTCAACCTCGCAACTAGTTTTTGATGTTGAAGGGTCTCAATCCCAACCTCCAATTCTACCATCCATTCTCACAGTCCACTTCAAATGATTTGAGAGGGAAAATAATCGACTTCTATACAAGCCAGTGATAATGGAAGGTTGGGTAAAAAAAAATGCCACATGTTCCTCAAGACACAGTAAGCTGTCTTTCATTGCATTGTGAATGAAGCTATGTAAGAGAGGCTGTTTTAGCTACTGTTTGGCCTTGGCTATCTGCTTAGAAGAGTGCCAGACACCTCCGAAGGCATAGGTAGCCAGTGAAACAAGCGATGCACAGAGAGCAGAGATCATTATTATATTTTCAGTCTCTCACGGGTAGGGGAAGGGTAAATGAGCAGAGCAGGAACGTCCTGTTGATATCTTCCAGTTTTGTCTCAACGCCCATTAAAAAACCACGAAGAACGTTCAAAGTCACCGCTGTGCACTCAAAGAGAAACTCAAAGAGAAACATAAAGGGCCTTTGTCAGTTGTGAATATTTCCCTCATCCGGCCTTCCGCGATTCTAATCAGAGGCATTTTCAATGTTATGTCCTAAATGGCACCTTATTCCCTATGGACCCTGGTCAAAAGCAGTGCACTATTTCTTTCTGCCCTAACATCGCACCATTAACACATATTTCTATATGACATCAGCTTCCTAGCTTGGTATAGGGTGTCCTATCAAAAACACATATTATGACCAATGGGTAAAATAATATGTTAATTGTGTAGATAATCCTCTAAGAAAACCAATGGCCCAAACATCATGACTCTATCATAATCCGTTCAAAATATTTCCCCTTGTAGGATGGTTAAAATTAGGGTGACTAAATCAATGGAGAACAGAGAAAAAAAGTGGTCATAAATAAGGAAAATAGCATTGAGTCAGCTAGGCTAGATGCTGTGCGAGAATGAAGGCTACCTGATAGGCTTACCATTGAACTCGTCGTCTCAAATCCGGAGGACATAAAACAATATAGAGGTAAGATAGATATCGATTTTGAGACATGACATGCAATATTTTCATACACTATATGTATATACAAAAGTATGTGGACACCCCTTCAAATGACTGGATTCAGCTATTTCAGCCACACTCGTTTCTGACAGGTGTATAAAATCGAGCACACAGCCATACAATCTCCATAGACAAACATTGGTTGTAGAATGGCCTTACTGAAGAGCTTAGTGACTTTCAACGTGGCACCGTCAAGGATGCCACCTTTTCAACAAGTCAGTATGTCAAATTTCTTCCCTGCTAGAGCTGCCCCGGTCAACTGTAAGTGCTGTTATTGTGAAGTGGAAATGTCTAGGAGCAACAATGGCTCAGCCGCCAGGTGGTAGGCCACACAACCTCACAGAACGGGACCGCTGAGTGCTGAAGCGTGTAGTGCGTAAATATCGTCTGTCTTCGGTTGAAACACTCACTACCAAGTTCCAAATTGCCTCTGGAAACAACGTCAGCACAATAACTGTTCGTCGGGAGCTTCATGAAAAGGGTTTCCATGGCCGAGCAACCGCACAGAAGCATAAGATCACCATGTGCAATGCAAAGCGTTGGCTGGAGTGGTGTAAAGCTCGCTGCCATTGGACTCTAGAGCAGTGGAAACACGTTCTCTGGAGTGATGAATCACACTTCACCATCTGGCAGTCCGACAGACGAATCTGGGTTTGGCAGATGCCAGGAGACTGCTGCCTGCCCGAATGCATAATGCCAGCTGTAAAGTTTGGTGGAGGAGGAACAATGGTCTGGGGCTGATTTTCATGGTTTGGGCTTTGTGGCAACAGTTTGGGGAAGGCCCTTTCCTGTTTCAGCATGACAATGCCCCCGTGCACAAAGCGAGGTCCATACAGAAATGGTTTGATGAGATTGGTGTGGAAGAACTTGACTGGCCTGTACAGAGCCCTGACCTCAACCCCATCGAACAACTTTGGGATGAATTTGAACGGCGACTGCAAGCCAGGCCTAATCACCCAATATCAGTGCCCGACCTCACTAATGCTCTTGTGGTTGAATGGAAGCAAGTCCCTGCAGCAATGTTCCAACATCTAGTGGAAAGCTTTCACAGAAGAGCAGAAGCTGTTATTGCAGAAAAGGGGGGACCAACTCCATATTAATGCCCATGATTTTGGAATGAGATGTTCAACAAGCTGGTGTCCATATACTTTTGGTCATGTAGTTATTTTAGTATACGCTGTTCATATTAATGCAAAGTTCCTTTGTTCTTCGAAGACTTCTCACAAAATAAATCATATAACTCTTTGAAATGTCAACAGAGCACTGAGCGTACCCCAAGCTTTTTATTTTGAAATACTTTTACATTTAATTCAGCTCATGTCATGATAATTTTGCTATTTGCGACCTACGGAAACAACTTGGAAGACGACCACCACAAAATGTAAAATCCTCAAAAGTTTTGGCGATAAAGCTGCACCGCTCTGTCAACAGAGATCGGTGCATATTATCAGATGTATAAGTTACGAAATCCTTTTTGGATGTAATGTTAATATACTGTATGTTAGAGAAAGACCCCACTGAATGATTCAGAACATGAAGAATCATATTTGTCTTGGTAAAATGTATTTTAAAACATAAGGAAATGAAATGTCATCACCAAAGTGCATTTTCACCCACTCTGGGCAGAATGGGTGGACAGACTACCTGGTAACAGATTCCATGCATCTTACACTACCTTGTCACAATACCTAATACACAAGTACTGTTCCATATCATGGGCGAACCAGGGCAGATGGCATAATTAAATAATCATTCAATGGGTGTTTCCACCTGTGTTACAGTGCTGATCACATGTGTGTAATACCACTGATCAAACAACCAGACACCAGGGTCCCGGTCAACCTGTGATATGTGAATAATAACATATACATCACAGTAGAGCTCCAGAGTGGTGCAGCGGTCTAAGGAACTGCATCTCAGTGCTTGAGGTGTCACTACAGACCCCCTGGTTCGATTCCAGGCTGTATCACATCCGGCCGTGATTGGGAGTCCCCATAGGGCGGTGCACAATTGGCCCAGCGTTGTCCGGGTTTGGCCGGTGTAGGCCGTCATGGTAAATAAGAATTTGTTCTTAACTTACTTGCCTAGTTAAATAAATAAAAATAAAGAGCTGTCACCACCTATACACTCACTATGACTGCTACAGAACTTGACTCACATAATCTAGCCTATACTTTCTTTCTCAACCTATACTATCCCACTCTTTTGCTCTCTCTTTCTCTGTCCTGTTGAGTGTACATGCAGCGAGGGTCTGTACCACTTAGGGAGTAATTGCACGTGTGTGTGTGCGTGTGTCTGTGTGTGTGTGTGTGTGTGTGTCTGTGTGTTTGGTATGGGCATTTCCATGAAAAAAGCTCCATAAGCACGAACATGTGACGTGCACATCACATTTGGTGTCAAATGAAAGCTGTTGTTGTTGAAATTAAGGCATACAGATAGCCCAGATAGCCCTATTTGGTAAAAGACCAAGTCCATATTATGGCAAGAACAAATAAGCAAAGAGAAACAACAGTCCATCATTACTTTAAGACATGAAGGTCAGTCAATACAGAACATTTCAATAACTTTGAACGTTTCTTCAAGTGCAGTTGCAAAAACCATCAAGCGTTATGATGAAACTGGCTCTCATGAGGACCGCCACAGGAATGGAAGACCCAGAGTTACCTCTGCTGCAGAGGATAAGTTCATTAGAGTTACCAGCCTCAGAAATTGCAGCCCAAATAAATGCTTCACAGAGTTCAAGTAACAGAAACATCTCAACATCTGTTCAGAGGAAACTGTGTGAATCAGGCCTTCATGGTTGAATTGCTGCAAAGAAACCACTACTAAAGGACACCAATAATAAGAAGAGACTTGCTTGGGCCAAGAAACACGAGCAATGGACATTAGACCGGTGGAAATCTGTCCTTTGGTCTAATAAGTCCAAATTTGATATTTTTGGTTCCAACTGTCCGTGTCTTTATGAGACGCAGAGTAGGTGAACGGATGATCTCTTTATGTGTGGTTCCCACCGTGAAGCATGGAGGAGGAGGTGTGATGGTGTGGGGGTGCTTTGCTGGTGACACTGTCTGTG